CCCCAAAACCCCAAAACCCCAAAACCCCTATCATAATTTTTAATAAAAATGAGATAAATGAAATTAGATTCATTAAAAAATATTTTTGACTTGAAATTTCATTATTAATGGAATAATAACAATCAGGCCAATAGACTTCTAAATAGCTAAAAAATAAAATGACTAAATCAAGAGAATCTGCAAGAATGCAAATACAATCAATATAGAGTCACATAGATTAATTATTTGATGAGTAAACTCCTCTAAATAAAAATGACATTAGTAACAATGTGATTTCAACTAATAATAGCAATTGAGGGGCTCTTGGCAATGTGAGAGATGATTTTTCCAACATTAATAGTATTTCTCAGCATGACTTAATAAAATATCAACATTTACAGGAGATGTCATCAAGCAAGACTCACAGAAATCAATCAAATGTCAAGTTAAGCGGTAAAACTCTAGATGAATTTGAAAAGCTTTAAAACTAAATATTGAAAGAAGTTGACCTTAAGTATATGATACAAGATAATCCAAGAAATGTCAGAGATCTGGTATCTGCAAGTGTAAAGTAATTAGGAAAGAGAAATAGTTCCACTAAGAATGGAATGAACAGGATTTTCCCTTCGTATTCAAATCCTATGCTTATTTAGTACAATTCAAATGAAGATCTTAGAAGTGAGATTAAAAATGACTTGATAGACCATTTTGATAGCATTGAAAAGCTTCAGTTAAAACAGTAACAATTGCTTGATGAGAATAGGCCATTAAATTCTAGAAACACCAACCAATAACTAAATGCCAATAAGAATTGCCCTAACTGCTAATATCTCAATGATACACCACAGGTTAACATCAATATAAGCATCAACATATAAAACAATACTAAAGATAGAATTGAATAGGAACAGCATAGTACACTACTTAAGAAGCGATAAATCATGACATAAAGGAATGAGTTGGAGGAAAGAACTGATCAAGATGATAAAGATGAAGAGTAGCGAGACTAAGTGCATTCAATTTTGTAATCAGTAAATCAAAGCAATGGAAAACTTTAATTAATACCATTTAAGGCATACAGCTCAGAAACCTAAATTAGTAAGCCAAACTAAAATACATCTACCAATATAATGCAATCATAAAATTCCAATGCGAATTTACTATTTGAGAATAGCCAAATTCAACATTTTCACTCAGAAATCACAATACCTAATTCTCGACATACACCCAAAAGAATCAGATCTAAATCCTTTTTCGACGAGAGTTAAGCAAAAAGAAACTGGCTTAAGATTTCTAATGCAATAAAAGGTATTAATTTGCTCAGGAGAAATATTGTCAAGACTCTATAGGACCCTGATGAGATAGTTGAAGATATAAAGAATTCTCCAAGAAGGAGAAGAACTTCTTAACTCGCTTCATTAACATCAATAAATCTAACAAGAACTGTATTAGATGATAGGAGAAATTAAGAAAGATTTTTTGACCTGATAGAGGCTGGTGGGGAAAAAAATCTAAAGAAAATCTAGCAAGAAATTGATGAAGATCCAAAAAGGTATATCTATGATGTTAAAGATCCCTGTCATCTTATTAATAAACATAATAGAATGTATCAAACTCCACTCTATGTTGCATGTAGAAATGGGAATTTAGGAGTGGTACAATTGCTTATAAATCAATAAGCAGATCCTCATTTAAAGAGTTAAATTGATAAGAGAGAGTGGGAATCAATCCTCTAAGTTACAGCTCGTTGGAATCATTATAAACTTTACGAATACCTTTTGAGTAATATAAAATGGACCAAATAAGAAATTAAGGAAGTTTTGAAAAGTAAGGATATATCAGGTAATATAAGAACCGTGACCAAATTATACTCAAAGTAACACTTTGGCTGCCTGTTCAATTTTTGTTTATGTATATGAATACTTATCTTTGTGGAGATTAATGAATTAAAGCAACGTAATAATCAATAATATTTTATTACAATAACAAGCTTGCTTTTTATATAAGTGTTTTATTTCTTTAATTTATTAATAATTCTCTAATTAAAATATAAAATGGCTAAAGCTGGCGGTTCAAAATTTGAAATGCTCAATGAGGTTTAAATCGCTGAAATCAGAGAGGTCTTCACTTTATTCGATAAAAATTCTGATGGTTATGTTAACACCAATGAACTAGGGACTATTGTTAGAGGTCTTAACTTAAACCCAACTGAAGCTGAGGTAGTTGAAATGATGAGAGATGTTGATCCTAATAATACTGGAAGTTTCGATCAAAATTCTTTGATATCATTAATTGCAAGAAAGGGGAAAAGTAATGAGACTCTTGAAGAAATGATTGACATGCTGAAAGTTTTGGTTGACCCATCTGATGATAAAGAAAAAGAAAAGATGAAGCTGTCAGTGGAGTAGTTTAAGTTTAGCATGATGAATCTAGGAGAAAAGATGCTAGAACATTAGATAGAAGAGATCTTAACAGATAGTGATCTAGTATTTGAAGACTCTATTTTGATTGATGAGTTTGCAAAATACATTATGAGTAGATGAACCAACCATATTTCATAAGCTTATTTGTTAAAATAATTATACATTTCATTTACTTTTTAAAAAGGAGAAATTTCATATACCGGGGTTTTGGGGTTTTGGGGTTTTGGGG